AGGTAAGAAAAAGATATAAAAGGAACAGAGATTGTTAAGAGATATAAAACTGTATCTATTCATAGTTGACTTGACTGACTGTACAGAATATCCAAAAAAATTATAAAAAAAATAAAATTAACGAGTGATTTTCACAGGGTCATAAAATACAAGGTCAATATAGCACATTCAATGTCAACTGTATATCTATATACTAGCCATGAAAAAATGTAAACTGAAAAAAAAAATTTTTTTATTTGGTTCCATTATAATAGTACCATAAAGACACAAAACACTTAAATATAAATCTAGCAAAATATGTACAATTTCTATTTGCTAAAAATTACAAAACATTTATGAAAGAAATCCTATGCAAATGGAAAGACATACCATGTTCATGAATTGGAAAACTCAACACTGTTAAAATGTCAATTCTCCGCAATAGATCTACACACTACAACATAATCCCAGTAAGAATTCCGGCAGGTTTTTTGGTAAAAATAGACAAGTTATTCTGAAATTTACATAGAAAAGCAAAGGGACTGTAATGTGTAAAGCAAACCACATAGAATAGCAACAAAATATTGAAGAACAAAGTTGTAGAACTCACACTACCTGACGTCAACTTACTTCAGACAAAATGAATCTAGGGGAGTAAAAGTAACAGTCATGATTCCTTAGGTAATATCTAATATAACCTCAAGCTACGTAAACCAAAAACAAAGGAGAATGAACTATCTAACTACATACCCAACTGTACTGTGGAGCAAAAGCAGCCAGACACAAAAGAGTACATAAAAACAGCTAAAATTAACCTAATGGGTTACGACAGAATAGTAATAATTATCCCTATGGGGATAGGAGACAGTGACTGGAAACGGGCAACGAGAAGGCTTCTAGAGTGTTGTTTATTCTTCGGGGTGAGTTCAGTTTGTGAAAATCCATTAAGCTGTAGAGTTATGAGGTATATAATATTGTTTAAAAAGAAGTTTCTAAAAAAAATACATATTTGTAACTGAGAATTAAAACACAAAGATGCAGTCAAGTTTAAAAAAAAAAAAAAGGAATCACTGCCCCTAATAAGTAGGCATACCATTTTTTTGTGTGTGAGTACTCTTGTGTTTAAACCACCTTGCTTCTGTAGCTATGGCCACCAAGAAAGGCCTTTTCTGAGAAGCTTGCTTTTGAGTTGAGACCTAAATGACAAAAGGAAAGCAGCCTTGTTTAGGAAAGCATTTCCCAAGTAGAAGGAAGAGCAAACTGCCAAGATCCTAGGTTGGAAACGAGTTTAGCATATTCAATGCACAGAAAGCCAGTGTGGCTGGAGCTTGGAGAAGCAGAAAATGGAGGGAAATGAAGTCAGACACATAAGCAGAACCATTCTATAGAGTCCAGTCTCTGGTTTTTTTTCTGCTGGCACCCCTTCTTTCACCAGCCTCTGAAGTGAAAAGGCTTAGGACTCTCTCTGCAGTCACACCCTTGGTAATCGTATGATATGCGCTGTTATCCATATGTATACTAACACTTCCAAATGTTTACGTGCAGCCCACACCTCTACCCTGAACTCCAGATTCCAATATTCAACTGCCTACTTGACAACTCTACTTGCAAGTCTATTCCTAATACTTTTTCACATTGAGCATGACCAAAACTAAGTTCCTGACCCACATTCTCCAATATCTGCTCCTCCAACAAGTTTTCCCATTTCAGTAAACGGAACATCCATCAGCCCAGGTGCTTATGAGAAATACCTTCAAGTCAAACTTGCCTCTGCTCTCTCTCACACCCCCTTGATTCAAAATGCAAGTTCTACCAGTTCTACCTGCAAAATACATCCAAAATCTGACTTCTTACTCCCTCCACTCCTGCTATCCTGGTGTAAGACACCATCATCTCTCTTAGATCAGCAGTTCTCAACCTGTGGGTCACGACCCTTTTGGGGGTCAAACGACCCTTTCACAGGGGTCACCTAAGACCATCAGAAAACAAAAAGATATTTACATCATGATTCATAACAGTAGCAAAATTACAGTTATAGAGTAGCAACGAAAATAATTTTATGGTTGGAGGTCACCACAACACGAGGAACTGTATTAAGGGGTCAGGGCATTAGGAAGGTTGAGAACCGCTGCATTAGATGATGACAATGGCCTCCTAAGTCATCTCCTTGATAATGTCCTGCCTCATCCCCCAGAAGTCTATTCTCAACACTGCAGCCAATTATCCTTCTATAAATGGCCAGAGCAGGTCACTACAACCCTCCAGTCACAAAAAACTTTCCAACCTGATGTTGAATAAAAACCAAATTGCTTAGTAGTTGCCCAGAAGGCCAGAAACAACCCGGTCCTCCATTAATTAGCTTCCTGACCGCATCGCCTGTTCTCTCCTTACTCAGCTTTCCAGCCACTGAGCCTGTTATTCCTCAAACACACCAAGCGCGCCTCTACCTCAGGACCTTCGCACTTGCTGACCCTCTGCCTGGAGAACTCTTCCCCAAATAACTGTATGACGCACCCTTTTGCCAACTCAGGTCACTGTTCAAATGTCACATTTTTTTTGTGAGACCATCCCTGACAACACTATTTAAAACCTACAAACCCTCACCTCCTGTTTATTTTCCTTACGTTTTTGTATCTAGTCTGTCTCTTCCCATCAGAACATAAGCTCACTGGATCTCACTAGACTCAATTAAGGGAAGGGGAATAATGTCTTATACAAAAATGGCTGCTATGTAGAAGAACTTTAGAAGGAAAAAAAGAGACACAGCTACTAATTACGTGGCTATCATCCATGTAAGATTAAGATCATAGATTCAGATCATAGTGGCTTTCGCAAGTTTTGTAGCAGTAGAAATGGTAAAAAGTATCAGATACAGAATCTAAAAGACTATTAATGAANCTGTGAGGTTACTACTCCTATTTTGAAATGAAATTTTAAATGAGGAATATACTCCGGATAACAACAAACTAATTGAGGAGTCATATAATAAACAGAAAGCTAAATGAATATAAGTGCAAACAAAATAATGTCACCATCGAGAAGAAACTCCAGGCATTCTGAAAAAGACGCATTAAGAAGGTAGGATGTGAGCTAGATTTTGAAGGTTAGGTACAAAGGGCCAGAAGGGAAAAGAGAAGGATGCAGAGGAAAGGATTAAGAGGCTGAGAAAAGAACACATGGAAGTATTGGCAGCATTAACGATTGTATCTGAATAATTCATAAGGTGAAAGTTCCTGTCTTAAGCTGCTGCTGTGGCTTTTTTCCACGGCCTAAACCAAGGGTAGGCAAACTACGGCCTGTGGGCCAGACACCTGATTTTCCAGTTTTATTGGTTTACATATTGTCTACGGCTGCTTTTGCACTAGGACAACAGAGTTGAATAGCCGTTATAGAGAATATTTGGCCTGCAAAGCTGAAAATATTTACTCTAATTTCCCTAAGCATCAGCCAAACCATGACCTAGAGTCTGGGTCTTAGAGATCCGCATTAATGAAGATAAATTATTCTTATCGTTAAAAGAAAAATTCTCTATCCGTGTTAAGTGGATGCTTACCTGGTTGTTTCAAAAGAATTCTCAGAAAGCAAAGCGTAGACACTAAAGCAGCCTACGTTTTCATATATTAATCAGAAAAATTAACAAAAATATTATTATGCTAGCTACTTATGTCTATAAAGCACTAATAACATTATGTTAACTTATAATAGCTTGTGTGTATATATAATACATATATGTATACATCATATACAACAAAGGAGACAAAAAATACAGTCTGATTTTTAAATCATGCTTTGCAAAAATCAAACTAAAATGTAACCAGAGCCTACTGGGAAATTAAGGTTGTTAAAAGGATACGGAATCCCTAGCATGTAGTCAGGTTGCAGGTTCCCCGCTCACTTACATCAGATATAGAGTATGCTACATTCATCGTTTATTGGAAGATTAAGCAAAGAAACAAATAAAACGCTAACACTTGGGAGAAACTCATTTGTGTGCTCTTCTTTTTCTCCACACAAAAATGCAGGGATCCCTGGACCTGGCATCTGTTCCATTTATTCCCAGATGTTTTATGTTGCTCACCAGCGTCATATTTGGGGGCCTCAAAGGGGTTCCTTCCAGACCTCTCAAAGTTCTCTATTCATGCAAAAGACCCAAGGATTTCCCAGTGAAGTCACTGAGAGGTCATAAAAGTTATCCTAATTTAGTACCAAGCTCTCCCATGTCAAATTTTCCTAACACTTGCAGGAATTACATATCAGTGCATAAAGCTATGGTTCCAGCGTGCAGTGCCCGTATCACTTTCAAAGAGGAAACCGCTGCAAGCACACCTCAGGCTCCACAAACCAGTCAGGTTCCAACAAACAAGCACTGCCATACCCTAGGTGTTGAGGCAACAAAGAGGATTAACTTCACTGAACAGGCCAGTGAAAGGAACGCTGGCTGCAGGGCAGACATGCCCCAGTGTGGGGAACCACAGGAGCCCGTTCTGACAGTCGGATTTCTGACAGCACTGGAGAGACAGACAGATCCCATCTTTCAGCCTTCCCAGTTCTGGCCATGCCCCTAAGGAGTGCCATACACACAGAAGCTCGCCACCTCTCACATCGCCCCCAGCTCTTTGCTACGTAAAGCCATGTTGCCAGCAGTAACCTGGCAATTGTTTATATTCATAAAGCATGAGAATGGATAAACTGAACAATGGATAAAATGGTGAAAACTGAACGAACCATTATGGACTAGACAAAAAAGAGGCACTTGCCAAAACAGAAACTAAAATACTGGTTTTCTCCTGCAAGGTCAAGTTCCCCCGGCCCCGGGGCCACTGCTGTAACTGAGGGATGCAATCCCTATGAATTTTGCTTCTCTGGTTCCATCTTTAAACTACCACACCTGTGCTAGGTTAACTGTCCCTGTAATCTCATTTTTCACAAACCCCGAGGAACTTGTGTGACACTCACTCCGGAACTATATTTCAGAGTAAGCTCGGTACCTTAATTGAAGCGACGTGCAGCAAAGTCTCTCCTCTGTGATTCCTTTTCACGGCCGTGAGGCTCCCGGGCGAGAGCGTTACTGCTGAGGAGCTGGGCATCATCCGTCTGTAGCTTGGGCTCCTCAGTGTAGGAGGAGGTGCACCTGGTGACGGGCTAAAGCATTCATCTGACACATCACTGTTTTTCCTCCTTAATGCGCTACCAGCTCTAGGTTTGCTTGATGGTGGTGAAGAACAGCCAGGCAATGGCGTGTTTTCTGAGAGCACTGTTTGCTTAACCCAATTGCCGCTGGGGCTGGGGCTGGGGCTGGGGCTGGGGCTGCTGCTTCTACATCTCTTGGACGTGGGACTGAAAAGTCTCCTGCCTCGCCCACGTTTTCCGTTAGCACCTTCGGGCACAGATTTCTTAGGTGTAAGACCATTTTCATGGCGATTCTTTTCAGGAGCCACTACTTTATTCCTGCTCTCAATTTCTGGAGACTCTATTTGCTCAGCCAATGGTAAAGAGGCTTCGGTTAAGCTTCCAAAACATTCCAATTCTTCTACAGAGCCGCTCGCTAGTATGTCTACTTCACCATTTAGCTGGGGACTAGCAACATCAGATGATTGGCTAAAGAAAGATACCAGCTTTTTCTTACATTCTTTGGAGTCAAGTTTACCATCTTTTTTGTCTGCCTCTAAATTCCATTCTCGGTTCACTTCAGCTAACGTTTTCTTTTTCTTTTTTTTTCTCCCAGATCTTGCAGAAGCCTTTTTAGCCCTCGCAGAATCCTCCACTGGGGGACTTGCAGAAGAAGCGTATTCATACACTGAGGCCTGCTGAGCGTTTCCATCGTTTATCATTTGAGGCTGGGTTTGCACTGAAACTTTACTCACAATGTATCTGACCTTCTTACTTCGAGGACTAAACCACATTTTTATTGAATTCTTCTTATTTTCGGCATCATTAAATAAACTTTTCTTAGATGTATCTTCTTTTAAATCTGATAGAAAAAAGGAACAGAAATCTGTTATATGAACTTAATCTCTCCCATCTTGAGCTTCCAAAGAATTTTGTTTATAGTTCTGAAGTGGATCACCTTTCATTTGTGTACTTTTCTCTCCCCTCCCATGCTATGAACTCTGTGAGCGCAGATACTCATTCAACAAATATTTACAGAATCCTACTTTAGTCCCGACTTTGTTTTAGGAACTGGAGGTACAGCAGCGAGCAGGGAACTTATATTCCACTG